CACACACACACACACACACACCAAAATGCCTGCCCATGTGATGGACTCTGGAGTATTGATTTTTCTCTTGGAACAAAAAAAAAGGCCTTTGCAGTCAGTATTTCCCTCTGAGCTCAGAAAGGGCTGCTACATTCCTGTGTACTCCCTCCAAGGTTACTGCTTGCTCAGCAGAGGCAAGCACCTGTCAGATGTATGCTTGTTTTGTTATACAACGTGTCTTTGTAGCATTTGTTGTCTCCATAAAACCCTCTTTTTCCAGCAATGGAAAAAAAATCATAAGAAACAAAAAGGATCTTTCAGGAGAACTCAGGAAAACTTAAGCTTGGGGAGTTTCATTGTTGTCTCTATCTGAATTCACAAGGACCCCACTCTGTTGAGCTCTACTCACATGTGACTGAAATACTGATCCCAAAGACTTCATTGTTTAGAAACCCTCACCTGGAAGCACACGGGAGGACAGCATCATCAGCACCACCGTGTTTGCTTGGCTGAGAGTTAAATGAGATGAAGTTTGCACTTGTTGATTAAGTCTGTCTACCCCATTGTTCTGCATACTAGTAGTAGTGTGAAACTAATCACTACAAACTCTAGTGCCACTATTGGCTAATCATTAGTAGAATTTATTGCTTGCTCTGATGTAATACTGGTATATTCTAATCTAAATCTAATCTAAAATGGAAAAATACTATTTAACAAGTTGTATCATGTGTGTTAGGGTCAATTTAATCAAAAGTCTTTTTGTGTATTTTAACCATTTTAACTTGATTTAGAAATGATTGGACTCTTAGTGTTTGTAATGTTCCCAATAAAACTAATAGGCTGCAGTGTTTCTAACCCTGTCAGGAATCCTTTCAATCTTGACATCAAAAGCACTTGACAGTTTACTGCCCAAGCAAAGGTTGCACCTCCACCATTTTATAGAATTATTAAGTAAGCAATTATGATAACCCACTGTTTTAAAGATAATAAGATGATAAGGTTTTGCCAAACTCACACTGTAGTTTGCCCTTACACAGCTCTTCCTGAGGAGAAAATCAATATCTGTTGCACTTAGATCGCTTTGTCCTTTCGACATGCTGAGTGTTTATTTGAACCTTAAAAGTTCCTGATGTTTTGTATAACATGACAATTGTAATGTAAAAAATACTCCTTATATCCACACATTGTAATGACCCTGCTTGGCTAGTGGCATTTTATCAAAGCTCATAAACCTCGAATGACTTTATATTGATAAAGGCTGTTTAAAGTGTCATTGGAACGATAACATTTGCACTGTAAATGTGGCTTACAGGCTCCAGCCTCCAATCATGCTGAGATGATAAGGACAGCACTGAGAGGAGGATACAAGCAATGGGTCAAAAGCCACAGAATATTTGTTTTGTGAACATTAAAAGACAACTTTTACTTCGTTAATAATACTTTTCCAGTTGATGCAAATTGTCCTTAAACACTAAATTAGAAATAATTAGTGTGTAAGGCATAAGGCATAACTTGTAACCACCTTCCTGTTCTGATGCTGCACATTTTAATGTTTGCATCACATGAAATATAATCACAAAACATATTGTAATTACATTTCAACAAGAGTTTCTATTCACAGAAAAGCAGATGATATGCTAGACAAATGATGCTAGCAAAAGGAATGCTTCTTTACTTAAAGAAACCACATATACAGGGGCACAACTACAGTCTCTTCAGAGTGTTAAAATTCTCCCTCTATAAGCATAAATAACAGTCAGAGATGGACAAGTGGTTTGACACTTTGCCCTGATCAATAAAGCAATCAGCATGTCAGGAGACTATATGTTTTGAGGACGGATGTATTGGAGAGGATAACCAAGTTTATGGCATTACTGTGAAAGGTGGGGCCGCTGCTTTCAGCTCCACCCACTCACACTTACAAACACATGTATGGTAATGCCACGTTTAGAGATATTTGAGTGGTTACATTAGTTTTACCTTAATCTTAATCATGACTGATATCTGGTGAAGTTTACCTTGTAAACGACTGTAAACTGTAAATGAGCCCAGATTAAGATCATGTAGTTTTTTGCTGAATTTAACTGTGCAGAAAATGAACATTTTTGTTCTCAGTTTGACAAATGTCAACAGTTAAATTCCTAAAATAGGTCTCATAATGTGAGATACACACAAATCCTTGGGCCTCATGTCAAGTCCCTTCTTCTCTGGTCCTTGAAGAGTCTGTCCAGACAGCCAGCTTGCACTTTGCTCAGTTCGACTATAAACTGAGACAATAAATTCAAGCAGACTTCTGAACTGGATGACATGAGAGAAACAGAGAGGGGGAGAGGACCTTCAGACAGCCGGAAATCAATTCCTCCAACATGGCAGGAAAGCCCACGAGGCCAAAATAGATGAGAAGTAGAATTTCTGTCTTTTCTTTATCTGTGTGGCCTGACTGAATCCTGGGAAGAATTGATTTTTGCAGGCTTTAAAAAAAAAACAAAAAACATAACATTGAAAATTTGACTTCTGAAAATTTCAAATCATGTTGTGGAATAAGAAAATGTGCTATGGACTGCAGTGATTCACGGTCTACCACAACTTTACCCTCTTTCCTGTTGGTCAGAGGCATTTCAGACCAAGTATTCATTTTCCACTGACACCTCATAAACAAATATAGACAATCCAGAAAAATTCACTTTATGTGCATTAAGTAAATTACTGTTTTCACAGCTCAATACTGAGACCCTGAATGATATTCAATTTGTGATCTGAGGTTTAATAAAATGTGCTTCATATGTTTGTTTTTGCAGAAACAGTGCACACCTGGGATCACAACATATTCTGTATCAACATGTGGTAGTAAATTTAAACTGCTGTATTTCTTCCTGGAAGCCAAGACAAGGATTAACAGGTCTGTGTCAAAACAAGCTTATTGCTCTGAAACAACTATAGGATGAATACAATATGAATCATGGTGTCTATAACCTCCTGTCACACCAAAATAGAATGAGTATGAGCATTAGTGAGCGCCTTATTGTAAATTTTGTTGGTTTGTCCTTTGTATTTCAAATATAGATATATCCACAACAGGGGAGACCTCAAGTATTTAGTCACTGGATGTACTGCCACCTTGTGATGTGCTTTGAAACCTGCATGTCAAAACCTTGTTGTCAGAGCTTCTCTTTGCAGTAAATGTGCAGAGAATATTATCATTTCTGTCAGGTTATAATTTCAGAATCAGTACCAAGGGCAAAGCCTGAGGCAGGACACAGACCTTGCTCCTCTGGAGCACGCTGACTGCACCGGCAGATGGATGTCACTGACCCTTCTCACTGATCACAGCAGAGATTTGAAGAAGAGTCACAGTCATTTTCCTGATCTTGGCTGTCCGTTCTTCTCTCCAGGGATTCGGTTCATCTCTATCTGCTGCTCAGTCAAGCCTGCTAAGGCTGGGTCACCATCACTCACACTCTTTGGTGCAGCCAGTGGATTAGCTGACCCCCCGGTGTGGGAGTTAACAATCCCTGCAGTCTAGTGAGCAAACACTGCAGCCATCCAACAGCTCAAACCAGCAGGTGTGGCGGTCAGGGATGCTCCCCAGGATCAGACAGCGAGCAGGGGAGAGATAGTGTCGTCTCCAACACCCTGAGTCAGTCAGCGTGGCAGCGTGGCTCTGCAGTCAGTCAGAGTGATGGAAAAGAGGCACGGCCCTGAAATTCACCTCAGAATGGCTCTGCTCAGCTTGCAGTGTTGTGGTGGTCAAATGTCATGGTTTTATGGTTCTGAGCTAAATATGGCCATAGGTATGTAGAAACCTGAACATTACACCCATGTCAGTGTGTCAGTCCAACACTGACACATAGATATTATGTGTCAGACATTAATCTGCTACTCTAACAGCCTCTGCCATTCTGGGAGTGCTTCCCATTAGATTTTAGAAACTGACTACAGGTATTTGCTCCCATTTAGCCACTAGAGCTAAGTGCAACTGTTCATCTCAGGTGTCTTATGGGGACGACATCAGGGCTTTTTGCAGGTCAAGTTCTTCCACAGCAAAATCTAGTTGAGATAAGAAACTGCTCTCCGCAAATTTTTTGCTACAAAGTTGAAGTATTATTGAGTTTGTTCTACCTTTTGACATATATACAGTTGTTGTTTTACTCCCTTATATGAGAGCTATATAAAAAAGTTATCACTCTTGATATCAATTTGTTCTCTGCCTGCCATAAATTCATTCAAATTCTACAAATTAAAACTTCCCTTAAACTGACCGAAGGGTGTCACAGTGAGAATCATGAGAAACAAAGTGACTGGTGTGTCCACGATCTTATACATTCACCATGCAGAAAATGGTGAATATGTACAGTAAGTGGTCAGATGCAGCTGCCACACTGCTTTACTGTACCAAGTCAACCATATGGGGGGCCCAATGTTTTATAGCCAGGTTCTTGAGTATAAAAGCACCACAAGCCAGACTACACACCAAATGTCAAGGCCTCATGCAAAGTCACAGAGATCTGAGAAGAGTATCTGCTACACTCAGCTCAGTATTATGAGCTGCTGTATAATGCTGAATGTGAGCAGAAGCCCAAAATGCCCAGCTTATGAATGAACTACTCACTGAGGTAGAACATAAATAGCCTTAGTGATAGGGAGATACCTTTTGAGATATCTCACTATCACACCGCTCTCTGGAGAAGATGCATCACTCTCATGTCTCCTGTGGGATTTTCTTTATTCTTGATCTTTTCTCTCTCCTCTCTCTCTCTCTGATTTGCATAGTTGACCTATCACACACTGGTGCTGAGTCATTATTAAGTGTCGGCATTCTAAATTATCCCCCCCACCTGCCATCTCTCCCACCCCGTCTCCTCTGCGAGGCAGACGCTGCACAGCAGGAGAAAAGCAACAAAATGCTAATTCTCTTCTTAAAAAGAAACTAGCTACACCAGAGCTCAATGTGAAAAACAAAACACAAGCTAATGAACAATTCTGTAGAAGAAAGAAAAACAAATAGCACTTCTGAGGCTCCGTGGTTCATTTAGAACTTTATTTCAGCTACAGTATGTGGTTGTTTTAAAAGCACTTATTAGCAATACAGACTGAACAGCTTTCATGATGCATCGCGTACTGCATGTGTCAAACATTCATGCCAAAGAAAATACTAGGGATACAACTTCAACAGGACAGTTAACAAGTTTTTTTTGAAAATTAAGGTAGAAAATATCAGAGAGTATTAGTGCTTCTAGCTTAAAATGTTACCACAATCAATGAAAAGAATAAACGTTGTACTCAAAAAACAAACAAACAAAAAAAACGCTTTCATTACTAATAAGAGCAAATTCCCACAGTGGACCAAACTGGCCACTGCCGAGTCTCCACACAGGCAACTGCCTTTTAAAAGAGGTAAGGCAAGTTCTGACTTAAAAAGCCATGAACTTTCTTCCCAACCAAAACACTGGTGAAAAGATACCTGACACTTTCAACAACAAAATGTCTTTGCTGCACACAAGTTAGGTTTACAGAGCCCTGTTTCAGAGAAAAATCTACTGGTGATTGCTAGAAAGCTACTGACAACAAAAAGCAAATCACAAACGTATCTCAACATTAATATCAAAGCAGAATGTCTGAGAGATTTTGAGGCTACATATTAGGGACGCAGTGATACCTATAAATCCTATTTTTTCGGGCAGCCTTACAAAATAATTTATTCTACATTTCATCTTAGTGTTCTAATATAATGTACTCTCCAGCTCGATAAAGGTTGGTTTTGAGAAAAGGAAATACACTTAAATAAAAAAGTAATACAAGATAAAGAGCACCTTATCTGCAGACAAGTTATTTAACAAGTAGATTTTTTTGGAAGCAAATGGCACCGAGTCATCAATGGTAAAATCAGCAATGCTCACTGAATTGTACAATTTTTGTCGGACAATACCGCCAAGTCTTGAACCAGTTTAACATCCAAGTTGTGACAAGATACTCTTGTTACACAAATGTTTGCATTGTGCGGGTCAGTGTGTACAACAAAGTATAACAGGAGCTGATCACTGGACACAAGCTGAATGGCTTCGTGTTAATCTTGAATCACGGAAAGGCGGCTCTTAAATCCGCAGTCAGTAGGGTGTTGCAACACTGCAGTTGTTCTTGGTACAGCTTGGTAAACAATGTACGGGCGTGGCGTGCTACCTGGCAGGCAGCACTGTCTGTGTTATATTACTGAGCTGGGCAGAGTCAGTGTGGAAACGAGCTTTCACGCTCACTCAGCTGCCAACATCAGATCTACATATAGTAACAACAGCCAGACTGAACATAAACTATAACACTCACTGAACTCTGAAATGGTGCAAACGGTAATGTGTCACAAACCTGCCTTAGTGTCATGAAAAAATAAGTACTTAAAATCCAAATGAGGAGCTTCTGATTCCAATACACCTGCATAAGGATTTACAAATACAGTAAAACTGTGAGATATACAAAAGAACTTTACATGAAATGTACCAGACCGCTCTTACTCCCTCTACACTTGTGAATTAACTCTGATATTCAGCACTGTTCCAGGGTCAAATCCAGATGTGGAAATCGCCCCTTAAGTTCATATCAAAAACTGTGTCAGAAGGTGCCATCACAGACTCAAAGAGAGATCAGACACTTTACATTATCAAGTAAAAAACAGATTATGGGACGAGGAGAGGAAAAAGAAAAAGGAAAGACTGAGAAAAAGGGTGACATCTGTTAAGCAAGCAACTTTGTGGCTGCATTTAGGAAACATGATGACAGAACAGCAGAACTAATAAGTAAATTTATATTTTCCTTTTGTAACAGAAATTCTATGTGCACACCATCATACCTTTAAGAGAGCATTTGTTGTGTACAATAAGACATTAGAGAATGCCCTTGGCTGGCAGGCTGGCACGGGTGCGGTGAGGATGGTTGAGCAGCAGCAGCAGCAGCTGGTGTGGCTGTGGCATTGCGGGTGTGGTCAGTGTGAGGTTTAAGAGAAGAGATGGCAGTCTGTGGAGGGGGGATCTAGTAGAGGAGGATGCGGCGCTCGATGGCCTTGCGGCAGATGGGGCACTCGCTCATTCGGTCCCCACACAACTGGCAGGTGCCGTGGCCACACATGAAGATCATGTTCTTCAGTCGGTCCAGACACACCGGACACATAGTCTACAGAGAGGTGAAGAAAAACAATCACACTTCATGATTTGGTTGTAATGAAGTCATTTCAAATTTCAAAAAACACACAGAGGATCGCTAGCTGAGCCAGAACCTGCACAGCACATTATACAGCAGTTCTACCAAGGTGAATTATTTAGCATCCTGTCAATTATCAGCCAACCAGAAATTAATCAGCAACAATTTTCATAACCGATTAATCATTTAAATCTTTGTCACGATAAAAACACTGTATTTTTTCTGGTTCAGGCCTCTCAAATGGCAGGATTTGATCACTTCATATCATTTTTATATAACTACAGTATATATTATGTTAAATATTGTTAGGCTTTGGACTGCTGACTGGAAAAAAAGCAAAGTGAAGACACTGACTGGGAATTTGTGATGGGAATTTCTCACTATTTTCTGCCATTTTGTTTCATTTTTTACCACAGAACTAATTCATTAATTTGGAAAAATTAACAAACAGTTGAATCAGTAATGAAAATACTGGTATGTTACAGTCTTAATTCTCTAATATCTAGAATTCTAAATATATGTTTCATGTGCTCCAATGTGCATTAACGGCTGGTGGGATCTATTGTACCATTTGTATTCGTTCGCCAGTGCTCTGCTGGACAGTCACCATATGCTTTGGTTGGTTTTCACCCCTGACACATTGGTGCAAAACACTGTGTACAGATGGGATGCAAACACATTTTCACATCCACAATACTTTGGGTGCAGTTTATTAAATGCAGAGGGAGTATCACACTCACTGACCTCTGTTCTACACCACAACAAGTTACCTGTTCCTTGATGTCTTGGAGCTGTTGCTGTAGCTTTTGTACATCAGCATTGACATTGGTGTTATCCTTGTCTCTCTGCAGGGCTGGGATGTTTCCGCTGGCTGTTTGGACACAGCAGAACAATGCAGAAACAGGCTGATGAAAACTGAATTCAACTAGGCTGGGCCCACGCTAGAGGAATTTATAATCCTAATTGATTTTAAAACCTGAGAGACCACAGGCATAACGACAGCTTTAACAAATTTTTTCCCCATTTCAATCTTAAGATAGCACACTAGGCGATTCAGTCAAGAGGCAGGACCACACACGTGCTGTTTTTACTGAATGATTTCACAGAGGCTCATGTGTGCTATGTTTTGTGCAGAGAGAGAAAGAGTATAAAGACACTGAGAAGACGAAATCGGCACGGCTTAAACATTTTTCAGATTGATTTGGAAATAAAGAAACGATGAGGTTAGTGAATGCTACAAGCGGTTGTGACGCTCCCCTGCCAGCTCGCTGTCATTGGCTGTTGTGGGTGTCTGGTCAGGATTCGTTCGCTGTCGCCCCCACACTACAGGATTCCTAGTTGTAAATATCATACATGCTTGATACTTGGGACTAAAGGCTGGGGCCCTCCGAACCTGTCGGAGGCATCATGATTAGCTTTCAACACTTCACACTGGATCATTTGGCCCTAGAAGCACTTCCGACCATCCCTACGATTGTTGGGATGGGCAAATCAGCCCAAAATTGGGCTAATTATCCTGTATTGTGGGGCCGACTTTACCAGCCTAGGGACTAAACATGTTCACACTTAGCACCGCGGGCCACATCAAACGTCAGCTCCTCATGGAGATAAACTGTAATGCCAAAAAAACCAAATGCAGCCATGCCAACATTACCATTCTGATACAAGCTGGAGCCTTGTATATTTTAGAAATATGAGCTTTGTAAACATGCAAGGATTGCAAACACATGCCACTCTGAATTTCACTGTATATCAGGTCAAACCTGCACTCTAGAATACTGCGCCGGGCATAGCTCTCACTTTAACTGACTTGATTTCAGAAATTCATACTTGTAATAATTTGATATATAAACAGGCTCAGGGCAAAATGTAACATGATGCTTTTGGCACTGCAGTATCTGCAGGATACACATAATGACACAAGTGTGAAACTGCCTGAATATACTGTTTGGCCGCTCAACAAGAATTTGTTGCACTGAGGCCCTGCTGTCGACTCTGGACTGGTAAACATCTGCCAGAAACAGTGAGCACTGGTGTGTTTCTTGGCATATGCATCATCTACTGTTTAGGGTGTGTGAAGTACATCCTAAACAGTAGAGAAAGGGGAGGGGAGGGGCCAGGGCAGCACTGTGGGAAGCTCTTTAAAAACAAGGCTCTGATAAGAGAGGGGGGGTCATGGAGTTATACTTACACCAACTTAGTGCCAGATTGTTGGGCTGGAGAAGATCCTGCGATCCCCCTGCCATAGTGTTAGAGCTCCCTGCTGGGAATAACCAGTCACATTGTTATAGCAGGAGCTGTCCTCACTAGCGCAACAGTTGGCTTGAGGACCAGAACTACTCACTACAACCTCTATAGGAGGTTCAGAG